GACAGACTGGGTCGTTCCCAGTTCCTCCCAGACCACTCAGAGGCCAGGTCCTCGCCACCAACAGCTTTCCCAGGGGCCCCATTTGCGGGCTCCTGGTGCATCTTGGTGAGTGCCCAGGACCCGGGAGTGAGGGCCTGACCCCAGAGCACCTGAATCTGAGCACCGGCCAGGACGGCCAGGACCCAGGACGGATCCTCCTGAATTCCCGACCCCCTTCCCAGGCTCCACCTCCTGGAGCAAAGCTGGAGGTTCGGGGGTCCACCTGGGGGCATGGGCTGCGTGTCTCCCTCCATGTGACTGAATAGGATGTCACCCTCCAGTCTCTCTGCACGACCGTGTGTCACTTGAGGAGAAAGCGTGTGTATCTCTCTGCTGTTGTGTCAAACATCACGACGGGTCAAGTGGTGTCCTGGGCCCATAACCCAGGTGACGTTCAGCTCCCCTCCATTTTTATTGACCACTTTTATGATTATTATTTTTACCAACAGCTCTAAGTGGAGGCCTGCGGGCCTGGGCCCCCTGGAAGGCAGCTGAAGTTCTGTCAGGAGGCCAGAGGGGCCCGGCCACAAGGTGGCTGGGCCACCAGAGTCTATATTTGGAAGCAAATCCCACAGGCGTTTCCTGGGAACCCGGCATAGCCCTGAGGACACCGGGGCGGACTGGAAGGGTGGCAGGGTGGCTTGCCCAAACCCTCCCGGGCCTGGGGGCCTGGGGGCCTGGGGGCCTGGGGCAGGAGCACAGCGCTCACCCGGGCTTCTGAGCCAGGCCTTCTAATGGCCCCATCCCCCTCCAGCCCTAAACGTAGTTTCTGGCCCTAAAAGCCACTTCTGCTCCATGGTGCCCGGGGGGGATTCAGCTTTCCCCCAAGCCCAGTGGCCTGGCCCCTCAGTGATGCCACTCACTGGCAGGGTATGCAGTCTTCAAGAGGTCACACGTAAGGTGTCCCAGGCCCGGCCACTTGGGAGTCACTCACAGCACACACACACACACACACACACCCACACGATCACGGAGGGCAGAGCCAACCGCCTCGCACCTGGGGCCAGCGACGGTCGCACACATGGCCCTCGTCATATCGGCCATCACACATTCACGTGCACATCCTCACCGGTTCCATCTCACACGCACACACACACGCCTGTTCCGTCACACGGGCCCAGTCTCCCGCTCATTGCCACGCACACACACATGCTCGTGGTCGGT